ATAGACACTATGTGTGCTTGCTATTTTACACTTAGCTGTTGGGACTTTCATAATGGGGGTTGGTGGGCGTCCCTCAGCACCAACCACTACTGGTTTCCCGAAGCTGACTTATTGGTAGTATTCTTCTTACACTGGTTCTTCACATGTCCTTGCTCTCCACAGTTCCTACAACATTTCTGGGTAACAGCCTTTCATGCTGTGGCATCTTCCCTGTGTTGAAGTTTCCAGCATTGAGCTTTCTTGTTTCGAGGTTTGTTACAGTTCCAGCAGAGTCCCTCAATCCTCTCTGAAAGCTGACCTTTTCTGGCCTTGAATTCTGATGACTGTACCAACCTTGGTACCTCTGTGCTGGACTTAACATAGGATTCGAATTTAAGAGCTTTGGCCATTGCATCTTGTATAGTAGAAGGGTGTGCTTGCTTCACTTGTATCTTCAGTTGTGGACTGTCCAAGGCGTCTACAAACTGATCCCTCAGCAACAGCTTGAGAACATCGGTTGGTGCAGTTGGGTAGGCCTTGTGGGCCATACTTCCAATTCTTGTGCCAGTTCTTGCAGGCTCTCCCCTTTAGTACAGACTCTAGTCCTAAACCTAGCCCTGTAGACTTCGGACTGATTTTGAGTTCCATACCTGAGCTCTAGAGCAGCTAACAGTGCTCTATAGTTGTGCCTGTTGTCTGCTGACAACTGTCCAAGTATTTCCAGTGGTTGTCCCTTCAGGCTTGTTGTCAGATATATTGATTTCTGCTCCTCTGTCTATTCATTTATCTCTGCCAGGAGCTCACATTGCGCTAAATATGCGGCTTCCTGTGGCTTCCTTCGTACTAAATCACCCCTTTGGCTGACATTCGTGTGTGGGATGTGACTTTTGGCAGGACTGAAGATGTCTGCATTAGGGCATAGCTGTGGGGTCTGGAAGGGGCTTCTCGTTGTCCGAGGCTGATTAGGTCGATGGCTAATAAATCCTCCTTGTGTCAAATACAATAAATCATCCTTTAATGTATTTAATTCACTTTAAAATTTGCTAATGTTTTCCATTTGTATTTCTTGCCACTGTTGTTGACTTTCCTGTAGTTGCTACTGACTTTCGTGCAACTATTGGAGACTTTCTTCCTGTTTCCTATTTTTGTTCCATTTGCTACTGTTGTAATCTCCCTTCTTGTTTATTTCCTTTCTCTTCCAACCACTGCTGCAGTCTCTCTTGTTTATTTTGCTGTTCGAGTTGCCACTGTTGCAGGTTTTCTTGCCACTGCTGTTGTCTCTCTTCTTGTTTCTTTTATTTTCCTCCAACAACTGCTGTAATTTCTCTTCTCTTCTACAGCAGTGGCAACTGGAACAAGAAAGGAAACAAGAAGTACAAATGGAAAACTTTAGTAAAGTTAAAAAGCGAATTAGATACGTTAAAGGACGATCTACTGTCTTTAACACAAGGAGGATACATTGACCATCGACTTAATCAGCCCCAGACAATGGCAAGCCCCTTCCAGAGCCCGCAGGTAAACCCTAATGCAGACATATTCAGTCCCATTAGAAGTCACATCCGAGATATGAATGTCAGTAATAGGAGTGATCCAGTGCGAAGAAAGCCACAGGAATTCGATGGGAAAGCACAGTGGGAAGCATATAGAGTACAATTTGAGCTACTGGCAGAGATGAACGGATGGACAGTGGAGCAGAAAGCAGTATATCTGGCAACGAGCTTGAAGGGACGACCACTGGAAATACTTGGACAGTTGTCATCAGACGACAGACACAACTATAGAGCACTGGTAGCGGCTCTAGAACTCAGGTACGGAACCCATAATCAGTCAGAAGTCTACAGGGCTAGGTTTAGGACGAGAGTCTGTGCTAAAGGGGAGAGCCTGAAAGAGCTGGCACAGGACTTGGAAAGCATGGCACACAAGGCCTACCCAACTGCAACACCCAATCTCCTGAAGTTGTTGCTGAGGGATCAGTTTGTAGATGCCTTGGACAGTACACAACTTAAGATACAAGTGAAGCAAGCACACCCCTCTACCATGCAGGATGCAATGGCCAGAGCTCTCGAATTTGCTGGCACTGTAACAAACCTGGGCACAAGAGAGCTCAATGCTGGAAACTTCTACA